ATATATATATATTCACAATATTTTATAATCGCAGTCATGTACTGAATATTCTATGTAAAAAATATAAATTTTAAATGAATTATTTATAGTGTGGTCGACTTCCTACACAAAGACGGGCTATAAATAGCCTTCCTATCTCCCCTCCATCCCTCTGTTCTCAAGAGAGAAGGTCTTGGTAAATAACATTTGTTTGTTTATTTTCATTGTTTGTCTAATTTATCATGTTGTATCAAAGTAATATTACTAAAAGTTTTAGGCAGCTACCAAACAGGGAAGTACTACCGCCTGGGAAGATATTGGAAGCATAATGTACAGTATTGTCTAATGGTAGATCCTACTTCCATATGGCATCACGAAAATTGTGACCAAGTCTTAGGTTGCTGATCTATCTTTCTGCCTCATTTACACACAATTGCAGAGTTTCAATTGTTTCTCTTCCTTTGGCAACACAACATACATACAATATAATGTTTCTCACCTTTGATCTTTTTTCCCTTTTGCATGTATTTATGGTTGGTTATTTAACATAATGCTAATTCACTTCAAGAATTGGCATCAAATTTTACCGGCTGGTGTACACTAGTGACTCACTTAAGCGTCTGTTATTTAACTGGAACTAATGTCGGTGTGAGTAAAATATTTCCATTTACTTGAAATAGATTTGCCGATTTATTTGTTTATTTATTTATTTATAATATACTGTAATATATTAAACACACTGCCAAGTATTTTCTTTAATTATATACTTGTTTTGCAAAAAAGGGAGGCTACCATTATACCTGGTAGGTGAAGTTAACCAGACATTTATGGTGATCATTAAGGACCAAACTCCGAATCCATGAAGTGACTTCTGTTCATCATTTATATCCTAAATTTACCACTGTCGGTAGTTTCAAGAATTAACACAGTCATTTACTGAATATTCTTTGTAAAAAAATAAATTTTAAATGAATTATTTATAGGAGATAAGTATTATGATCAGTAAATATACAGATATGCATTACTGACCACCTCCGAACACAAGGACGGCTAAAAATAGCCACAGGCGGTCACAGTCAAGGTCACTTTCCCTTTCTTGTCACTGGCAAATGGGGGAGGGGGGGATGATAATAGCAGCTGTGTTTATTACGGTATGTTCGACTGGTTTATAATACATTTTTATTATTTTAATATACCGGTAATCTTCATTTTAATCCAGCTTCCCAAACGTAAGTTTCAGTATAAAATAATTAGTGGTAGGACCTTGTGAGTGGTTTACCATGTTTCCATCACCACTCTTGACACGCTAAACCGCAATATTTAAGAGGTAAGAATTTTATATCTGATGCTTAAGACGACCCCCTAACTTTGGGCTGATTTTTTTATACTGTAGTTCAAATTCTGTCTTATAGGCAAAGATATACGGTAATAGATTTTTTTGTATTGCCTGTAAATTGTTTTGTGTGATGAGAGAGATGACTGATAAACATCTTTGTCACGCCAATTTGTCAGAAGGTTTGGGTAATTACCCCCCCACCCCCCCCATCACCAAAAATTCCTAGATAGACTACTGACTGCTTGCATATAAAACTGCAATATAGCTCTTACTTAAGGCTAACTATAATTTTTTTGCTGCTTGTAAGGGGGTGACAAAGCTTCTCCAAAACTATAATGTTCTGGTTTTAACTGTGAAAAAGGTTTCTCAAAAGTTCAGAATACAAACAATGATCATTATATAGATCAACCATCATACAATGCAAAAATAACAATTCAATTTCACAAAATAACTCACTTGTCTCCAAAACTGGAAAAAACAATTATAATGGCAATGAAATTATTCCTTGTTGCAACACTAATATATTGTACACTGTATTTGCACCTTATGTTGGAAGAACATTGCACACTGTAGGCGAGTGTTCATGTGCTGCCATTCAAGATACTCATCAACTCGTGCCTGGAGCCTGGAGTTTTTTGGGTACCACTGACCAGCAACATCATATTCTCGGCACAAGTACCGCAATATAGCAACGCTGGAAAGAAAATTATTTCAATATGCAAACCCCAGAAATCAACACTGAAAAGTTTTAATATCATAACATTCTACAGTATATATCTATCTATAATCATTCCCACAATTCCAAACTCCCTGGGAAAGAATAGGACACCAAAGCTGACAAGAAGAATATACAGTACAATACATTTGAGAATCAGAAATTAAAAAATAAATTTTCAAAAATATTTTTCTTAAGTACTGTGCTGTACAGTACAGTATTTTTTTTCCCAAATGATAAAATTAACCTTAGAGAATAAAAATATATACCGGTAATGTTTCACTTCTACAATACAACCAAACTATGAATCCTCTAGTTACATTGGTTTGGTCATGGTAAAGCTCTGAATGCAAGGAAATTCATTGGTGAGGTGGTGTGTGGTAGAGGATGTTGATAGCATGGGAGGTGGTGGAGGCGCCACTTTTAGGGGAGGAGAGAATGTGGGGAAAATGTTTCTATATAGTATTTTAGTTGTTAACATGCAGTATTTTCATATAACCACCACTCCACACAAACAATGTGAGCTTTGCATCATGTGGCTCTTCTTCCTCCTCCCCATCACTTGATAGGCCATGGAAACTTCAATTATTGACGACTCTCTCCTCGCCAGCTTTTTTTCTTTTTCTGGCGTCGCAGGAGAGGGAGCAGCTAACTATGTAGGCTTCTTCCTCCTCTTGCATACATCCACACCCTGCTTGCCTCTAACACTTTGCATTTTTGTTTCACTTTCTTCATCACTGCTATTAGATATAAGTGTATTTTTATGCTTTGCAGGCACTTTCCACCTACCAACACTAGTAACACTGGAGGTGTTGCTTCTCCCCACTTGTCGAGCGTGACCTACGTCCAGCCTCCATACTGACCCCCCTATAATGAGTGAGTGATTGAGAGAGGGGGTAGAGGGTCTGGGGAGGTCTACAGAATAATATTCACCATACTCGGCCCTTGCACAAATTTTTAAATGTATCCGTTCAACAGACGTGTGCTGCACTTCTACACTCAGATTTTATAGCTGTGAGTTACTTGGCATTATTATGAGCACATGTGAGTCACTTGGCATTATTATGAGCACATGTGAGTCACTTGGCATTATTATGAGCACATGTGAGTCACTTGGCATTATTATGAGTTCTTATTAAATACTAGGCACCATGTCAAGCATCTGTGAGATAACTGGTGTCATGCTCATGAACAAAATTATGAGATATAAACTAAAATACTCAATCTTCCACTTAACACAGTACAGTATGTGTGTGTGTGTGTGTGTGTATAAACCTGTCAAGTGATGCTGCTGAGTGCATACTATCAAGAGAGTCTTCTGTTTGAATACTGTTATACTTAAGCAAGAATATCCACTACAGTAAATTCACATTACCCTGTTATCAACTTACTGCACAGTATTTATACATAACTCTTCATAGTAACTACACTAGTACAGTAATATCTCTGTAAGCTGGAATCCCTCAAACCCGGAAGTCTCTGATAGCCAGAATTGAAATTTTCTCGGAAAATTGTTCCCAAAGCCGGAATTATCTGGAAAATTACGGCTTTGGGAACGATTTTCCGAGGGGCACATTCTTCGGAAAATTCAGAGAAATTTTTTTTCAGGGTTTGAGATGAATATCAGGCGCATTTTCCATTACTCAAAAAATTCCGGGGATGAGGGATATTTTTCGGGGTTCGAGAGATGATGTAATGGGCAAATTCTGGAACTTCTGAGAACATTTTTCCATTACCTGAAAAATACCGGAAAATTCCGGCGATGAGGGACTTTTTCCGCCTTTGAGAAAGTCGTCTCGATACCCAGAAGTGCTCTGCAACAATTGTTTCGGCTAACGGAGATATTGTTGCATAGTGTATGTAGCCAGTACAATAGTCTAATTTCTCTTTGTTGTGTCAACTTTCTCTTTGCATATCATATCAGGGGTGGCTCTTCTTCTGTCCAACTGTTAGATACGGTGGAATCAAAAGGCATTTCGTCTCATTAACACTCCTCCTTTATTCGAAAATCTCTCTTCCCTTTCTCTTCGCCGCAATGTTGCTTCACTCTCTCTCTTTTACAGGTACTTTAACGGGCAATGATCTGTGGATTTGGCATCCTGTGTACCGCCGGCAAGGCCGTGGGCTCGTAACACACATCTTGCCCGCAGTGCCCACCGTTTCTCTGTGGATGTCGGTCACACGAGAATAACCCGTTATAGTACATCCTTCTTTCCTCACACAGCCAAACTGTGGAATGCTCTGCCTTCTTCTGTGTTTCCATACTTATACAACCTGTCTCACTTTAAAAAGCCGGTTTTCCGGCATC